CTCTCCCACTCTGCGGTGGACGGGCGAGGTTGGTGATGCGTCGCCGTTTCGGGTCTGGGGTGCCCTTTCGCTTGTTCGCGACCCCCCTGCAGGGAAGCTCTCTCCCCGCACTCTTCGTTGCGTCTTCCTTTGCTTCCCTACCGACGCCCCGGGCTGGCAGTTTTACCACCCGGATTCTCGTCGTGTTCTCTCCTCCCAGGACGTCACCTCACGAGTCTGTTTGTTTCTACCGTCTCCACCCTCACCGCAATTTCCCCGTGCCTCTCCCACCTCTCGCACTGGTCTCTGACCCCCCCCCCCCCCGGTAGCCCCACTCCCCCCGCACGGTCCTGCTTCCTTAGGTGTGTCTCAGGTTGACCCGTCCCCCTTAGTTCAGCCAGTTGATGTCTCCTCTGACACCTCTGGCCCAGCTGAGCGGGGTGACCCGACTTCTGCTGCCACCGTGACCCCTCGCCGCTCTGTGCGCTTGGCGCTCCCTCCTGGGTTTCCGCCTGGACCGTCTTCACCATCGCTGCAGCCTGTTGTTGTGGACTCTCTAGCTGGAGCGGCTTCTTGAGTGGGCTGTCCAGTGGGGCAGACCTGGTGGTGGAGCTAGCCGTGCTCGTCCTACTAGAGCTGGAGGTGCTGGGACTCCTGGTGCTGCTCGAGGTGCTGGAGGTGCTGCTGCTGTGGGTGCTGTTGCGGGCAGACCTGGTGGTGGCGCTGGACGTGCTGGAGCTGCAGGTTCTGGAGGTGCTGGCCCTGGAGGTGCTAGTGCTGGTGTTCCTGGTACTAGAGACACAGGTGCCGATGGAGGTACTAGAGGCGCAGGTGCTACAGGAGGTGCTAGTACTGGTGGTCCTGGAGTTGGCTCTGCTGGAGGTACTGGTACTGGAGGCCGTGCTGACACTGGAGGTACTCCTCGAGGTACTACTGGAGGTACTGGAGTTAGTGGTGCTAGTCGGCAGGAGTCGCTCTCGTCGCTGCAGCTTCGCGAGTGGGCTGTCCGTTGGGGCAGTCCAGGTGGTGGAGCTGGTGGTACTGGTTCTAGGGGTGCTGTTGCTACTAGAGCTGGAGGTTCTGGGGGTGCGACTATTCAGCCGCAGCCGTTTTCGCTTCGTCGCCTTCTCATTCTCCCGCCTGCTGCTACTAAGTTCCCGGTTGTTGGGACTCCTCCCCCGTTACTGTTCCCACCGACTGACCAGTCTCAGACACAGCTACTGCCTGGCTCCCCGCTGCCTACTCCTGCTCCTCACACTGAGGTGTCTGCATCCCGGACTGCTTGTCGTGAGCCCGCGACTCGTGCTTCCACTCCTGAGCCTTAGACTAGAGCTTCTATCCCTGCTCGTGTTCGTCGTGCTCGTCGTCGTCGTGCTCCGGCTGTACCGGGCACTCACGATATGACACTCTGTCCTTCATCTGTTCCACAGCGTGTTGTCCGGCTGTCGCCTCCCGCGTCCTCTTTTCTGCACATTCCTGACCCTGAGTCTGACATTGTCCGTGCTGCCAGTCCGACTGTCACTCGTCTCCTTGCCACAGTTGTGACTGGCCCTTCCTTTGAGTCTGCTGTTGCGACTGCCTTAGTTGCTAAGCTTGTTGACTTTGCCGCTTTGTGCTGCCTTGACTACGCTGCGAGTCTTGTCTTCGATTCTACTTGTCCTCCGTTCGTCGGGGGTTAGCTCGCCCTTGGCTGTCACGTCCTTGAGGACAGGCCATTTCAGCTGGAGTGCCTCGCGGTCACTGCACCTCATCTCACGTCCACGCTACTTTGCCCCGAGGGAGACCCAGATGCACTGGGCATCCCGACCCTGCGCTCTTACGCAGAGGCGATCACGGGTCCGTACTCCTCTGGCAGATAGCCATGGACGCAGAGATGGCTTCCTGGAAGTCCACAAGTGCCTATGTCGACGATGTTCCCCCACCTGCCGCGAACATAGTCGATGGCATGTGGATTTTCATAGTGAAGCGGCCGCCTGGTTCTCCGCCTGCCTTCAAGGCGCGTTACGTTGCACGAGGCTTCAGTCAGCGTCACGGGGTCGACTTCTTTCATACCTTCTCCCCCACCCCAAAGATGACCACTCTTCGGGTGCTACTGCACGTTGCAGCACAGCGCGACTGCGAGCTGCACTCCCTCGACTTCTCGACAACCTTCTTGCAGGGCAGCCTTGACAAGGCTATTTGGTTGCGCCGTCCACGTGACTTCACTGGGTCGATTCCTGGGGGTACCCAGTGAAGTCTTCGGCGACCAGTTGACAGCCTACGACAGGCGCCCCGCGAGTGGCATGACACACAGAGGACTACACTTGCGGCTCTTGGCTTCGCTCCCTCGACTACTGACCCTTCTCTGTTTTTGCGCAGAGACACTTCTCTGCCACCGTTCTAGGTTCTCGTGTTTGTTGACGACTTGGTTTTTGCTACTGCTGACACTGAGGCTTTGGTCTTGGTGAAGGCGAAGCTATAGGAGAGACACACTTGTACTGATTTGGGTGAGCTGCGGAGCTACCTTGGCTTGCATATCGCCTGAGACAGAGCACGGCGCACCATCACCCTGACTCAGTCACACATGGTGCAGCAGGTCCTTCATCGCTTCGAATTCATATGGTCCTCGCCACAGCCCACTCCTCTGTCTACCGGCCACTCGCTCTCAGCTCCACCTTTGGACGAGTCCGTAGAGCCGAGTGGTCCGTAACCAGAGCTTGTGGGCTGCCTCATGTACCCGATGACGTGCACACGACCTGACCTCGCGTACCCTCTCAGCCTCCTGGCTCGCTACATGGCTCCCGGTAGACACCGAAAGGTGCACTGGGAAGCTGCGAAGAGACTATTGCGTTACTTGTGCAGTACATCGAGCATGGGGCTCGTGCTTGGAGGACCGGGTTCAGTTGTTCTCACCGGTCACTCAGACGCTTCTTGGGCAGACGACTAGACAACTCACTAATCGATACACAAGTACAGCTTCAGCCTCGGCACTCGTTCTCTCTCGTGGAGATCCACTCGCTCGTCTTCAGTACTTAGTTCCAGCTGTGAGGCCGAGATCTACGCTGGGGCTATGGCTGCACAGGAGCTCCGCTGGCTGACCTACCTGCTGACCGACTTGGGTGAGCGGCCTCGTTCTCCTCCAGTTCTGTACGTCGACAACAAGGCCATGATTGCCTTGTATCAGGACCAGAGACTGGAGCACAGAACGAAGCACATTGCTCTCCGTTACTTCCTCACGCGAGAGCTGCAGCAGCGTGGCCAGCTTTGTCTTGCTTACGTGGCCACACGGGCCAACACTGCTGATGTCTTCACCAAGGCCCTTGGGTTTTGTGATCATCAGCATTTCTGCACTGCTTTTGGGCTTGTGCTCACTCTGCCTCACTTGCTTGTCTCTTGATCTTGCCTTACACTTGTTGTACTCTGATATACATGATTATACCTGCATGTTTGCCCTTGCTAGGTTGTGATAAGTGTATTGCAATTGCTATTACAAACTCTGCATGTGAACTGGCCTTGTGGCCACTTGCTTGTGCTCAGAATGCGTGGTGATCTTGAGATCCACCATGAGCTTTGCTTTGCTTTGCTTCTTCTCTTAAGTGGTCTTGTGACCCTTGCTTGCTCTGGCTATCCCCCACTTCGCCTATGGGGTTGTGTCAAAATATATATGCTTAGTTGTATCTAGGCTGTATGGGGGCTAGCATTAGGGGGTACATAAATCATCTTGACATTCTCCTTGTACCCCCCTCCCTTGACCTAATCCACACATTCTTGTCCTCAGATCATCTAACATAGCGAGCTCATTTCGTATTCCTTTGTAATGATGTATATGAACTGATGTAATTGCTTGTTATAGTCATTTTTGTCATTTACATTCAGTCTAATAACTGGCATTGTTCACTGCGATAAACACTGAGCGCGATTCTGGCCAATTCCTCCGTGGGATTGTAACAAGCGGTGCAGAGACGCATCGGGAGTGGTCTGGGGTGAAATTGTAGCCCGAATCCAAGTTACGGTACGCGAGACCCTAGGTAAGAAAGATTAATTTCCTTAACGTAGTAGCTTCACTCACTCAATTGCACTCGTTGCACATAACGGGTTTCATACGCCCGAGCGAATCTCGTTTCTCGTTACTGATTTCCCTCCCTCCTTGAGTGTTACCCTTGTTTCTCTTCCTTTAAAGCCAGGATCTCAAGTAAGAGAAATTGGCTTCAATTGCAAAACACTTGCAGCTCGAGTCACCCTGTTTGTTTAGGCGAAATCGAGTGGTTGGGTTGGAGGTTCAGTGTGCGACTGATCCCCGATTTGCCCGTGAATCTCAATTTCAAAACAAATTGCTGTGCATGAGATTTTTCGGCAAGTGAGACACATTGCTGGGAAATGAGCTTCGGAACCCAACCAGATTTCTGTGCCTAGTTGGTTCGGAAGTTCACTGCGATTTTTGTTTGCTTCGCATCCCTCGTTTCAGCTCTCGTCAACTACTCTACCTCGTCAACCAATCACAGCCTAACACAATTCACTAACTGCAAAACAGCCAAACTACTTGAGATCACGACTTTGTCAGTTAGTCTTGACCGTTCCTCGATATTGGAACGGTTTCCCGCCCTGCGAAAAATCAAAGAAAGATCATCTGCGAGCTTCTCAGCCAACCCACGAGCGCCATGCATGCAGCCAACCGGTCATATCAAACGGAGCCAGCACATCGCACGCACTTCAGATCAGAGCACGAAGAAACAGGTGATCTGGACCGTTGGCAGTGCCGACCTCAGTCAACTGGTGCACTAGCTTCGGCTCGGCGCGGCACCCAAAGTTGATATGGGAGGGAAAATCGAAGGGTGGGATGGGATGGGAATCGGTCGGTCGCGATGGACGCTGATTCATTGTTCATCGATGGAAGACCCTTTTTCGCACATTTGATTTCTGCTCGTTGATCATTAGTTACCTAGTACGCACCAGGTTGCTCAGCAACGTACAGCCAAGCGACTACCGGCGTAATTCTATTCTACCTCCGGTCTCCCGCCTTCCTGCGCGTCGTTCGTTCAGCCATGGCGTCCGCTGCTGCGTCGTCGCTCTCCGTGAACCGCGCCGTCGCTGCCGCCGGCGTGTGCGGCGGAGAGCATCGTCGTTCCGTGAGAACCTTCTTCACCACCTCCGGTCCCTTTTCTTTTAAGTCGCATCGGAAACGTGCTTCGTCCTCCGTTAATGTCTCGCCTTGCATTCCCGCCTTCCCGGCTCCCTTGCCGCCTTGTATTCCCCCGTCGCTGCGGGTCCATGGTCTCATTGTCGCCTTCGCCGCTCTCTTGCGGCGACAACACTGGACTCGTAAAAGCTTATAGCCATGGACATTGCTTGCATGTCGCATTACTCTCAGAATATCAGCTGATCGTAGCAGCATTGCCACGCAGCCTCATTCTCAGATGCCATGCGTTTTTACTTGATAATTCTTCCACTCGAGCGGGCTTCCACTCTATAGATCTCTCTCCATCGTGCTACGAGCGCTCACACAGCGAGTGTTCCTCCAATCGTCCTCTCCCCAATTCCCAAGACCCTCCGCTCGTTCAAAATTCTTCCACCGCCACTCGCGCTCCCCTTTTTTCTCTCTCCCTCCCCCACGCTGCCCCGTTCTCTACCCTCCCCCCCTCCCCCTTTTCCTCCCCCCCTCTGCCCCCACAGCTCGCCGCATCGCCGCGCGCTTCCCTGCGCCTCTCGGCACCACTCCGCGCCTCTCCCCTCCCCCTCGCGCCTTCCAAATGCCGCCCGCTCCGCGCGCCCCTTCCGTCGCGGCGACCGACAGTGCGCGCCGCTGCCGCCGCTCCGGCGGCTATGGCGGACGGCGGGCTGCTGACGCGCGTGGCCGTTGCGGCGTACTCGGCGCTCGTGCCGGCCGGTACGGCCGCTAGCATGGGGCTCACGGAGCTGACGGTGAGGCGCGGGGGCGCGGAGGAGAACTGTGAAGGATGGATGGGGGATGGGGGAAGATTGGGAGAATGGGAATGTGGGGAGGACGCGGGATGGGGGAGCATGGGAAATATGGGGACGACGGGAATGTGGGGACGACGGTGAAGGGAGGGTTAATAAGTAATGCCATTTTCGAGAAGAACGGAATGGGGAGGAGATAAATAGACCATGCAAGACATGCCTTCCCTTGTTCCATTCCGTAATGTCTGTATGTATCTGTGTGTGTGTGCGCGCGCGTGCTTGCGCATGCGTGTGTGTGCTCCTGCGTGTATGGGTGTGTGCATGGGTGCATGTATGCGCATGCATGTGTGCGTTGCATGCGTACGTGCCTGCGTGTGTGCCTGCGTGTGTGCATGCATGCACACCCCCCATCAGGTGGTGCTGGCCGTGCGAGAGACCATCATCGCGCTCGCCACTGCCGCCATCTTCTTCAATGCGCCCAAGATATGCCGCCTCGTCAACTAGTAAGAGAACATGCCACCTTGTAATCTAGTAATAGGAAATGCCCAATACTGTCCAATGCACCATGCCCGATGCCTGATGCTTTCACGCACCATGCACCATGCGCCTGACCCACAACCCCACTCAACACCCGTCCGTATATTTTCTCTTCCCCATTCCAACATGGCAGTGTGTGGGGCACGCTGATCATGCGGGACGATGAGGTGATGGAGGAGTTTCAGGACAGCATGTTCGGTGCTCTCACCCACACCACCCCCGCTCACCTCGCCCCTCAACGTAGCATGTTTGGTGTGCTCACCCACCCTCTCTCCCCCCAAACCCTCTCCCGCATTCCCCTCCTGGCAGCGTGTGGGGAACGCTGATCATGCGTGACGATGAAGTCACGGAGGAGGAGTTTCAGGACAGCATGTTCGGTGCTCTCACCCACACCACCCCCGCTCACCTCGCCCCTCAACGTAGCATGTTTGGTGTGCTCACCCACCCTCTCTCCCCCCAAACCCTCTCCCGCATTCCCCTCCTGGCAGCGTGTGGGGAACGCTGATCATGCGTGACGATGAAGTCACGGAGGAGGAGTTTCAGGACAGCATGTTCGGTGCTCTCACCCACACCACCCCCGCTCACCTCGCCCCTCAACGTAGCATGTTTGGTGTGCTCACCCACCCTCTCTCCCCCCAAACCCTCTCCCGCATTCCCCTCCTGGCAGCGTGTGGGGAACGCTGATCATGCGTGACGATGAAGTCACGGAGGAGGAGTTTCAGGACAGCATGTTCGGTGCTCTCACCCACACCACCCCCGCTCACCTCGCCCCTCAACGTAGCATGTTTGGTGTGCTCACCCACCCTCTCTCCCCCCAAACCCTCTCCCGCATTCCCCTCCTGGCAGCGTGTGGGGAACGCTGATCATGCGTGACGATGAAGTCACGGAGGAGGAGTTTCAGGACAGCATGTTCGGTGCTCTCACCCACACCACCCCCGCTCACCTCGCCCCTCAACGTAGCATGTTTGGTGTGCTCACCCACCCTCTCTCCCCCCAAACCCTCTCCCGCATTCCCCTCCTGGCAGCGTGTGGGGAACGCTGATCATGCGTGACGATGAAGTCACGGAGGAGGAGTTTCAGGACAGCATGTTCGGTGCGCTCGTGGGGCCGCTGCAGTTCGTGCTCATCTCCTTGTTCCTCACCCGCCAGTGAGTCGCCTCTTATTCTCCTCCTCCCCACCTCTCACTCTCCTCCCCACCTCTCACTCTCCTTCCCACCTCTTACTCACCTCCCCACCTCTCACTCACCTCCCCACCTCTCAGTTTCCTCCTACCCACCTCTCACTCTCCTCCCCACCTCTCACTCTCCTCCCCACCTCTCACTCTCCTACTCACCTGACTCTCCTACCCACCTCTCACTCTCCTCCCCACCTCTCACTCTCCTCCCCACCTCTCACTCTCCTCCCCACCTCTCACTCTCCTCCCCACCTCTCACTCTCCTCCCCACCTCTCACTCTCCTATCCACCTTTCACTCTCCTTCCCACCTCTCAATCTCCTCCCCACCTCTCACTCTCCTCCCCACCTCTCACTCTCCTCCCCACCTCTCACTCTCCTCCCCACCTCTCACTCTCCTCCCCACCTCTCACTCACCTCCCCGCCTCTCACTCTCCTCCCACCTTTCACTCTGCTCCATCCTCTGCCACTCTCATCGCTTCTGCCCGTGACAATGACAGTGGCTGTGCGGCAGGTGTGCGCCTTCACCCTGCCCCTCACCTGCTCCAGTCCCCTGCTACAGTCCTCCTGCCCCCCGTTGCCTGTGCCTTCTCTGTGCCTAACACCCCCATTCCTGTGCCTGCCAGCCGCGCCTGCTGGTGCTGCTGCTGCACCTGCTCCTGACAGTGGCAATGGTGCGGAAGGTGCGGGAGGTAGCAGTGGTGGCAGCTGGTGTGCGCCCCCTCCCCCCCTTATTTACCCATTCCCCCCCCTTTCTCCTTGTCAATCCCTCTATCCCTTCTTATATGTGCCTGCCCTTCTTATATGTGCCTGTCCGCCTGCGCCTGCTGGTGCTGCTGCTGAAGCTGCCCATGACAGCAGCAATGGTGGGGAAGGTGCGGATGGTGGCAGCAGCAGTGGCGGCTGCTGGTGTGCTCCTTCCCCCTCTCCCCCCCCCATCATCCTGTCCCCTCTCCCCCTCCCCTTTCCCCTTTTCCCCCATGCCCCACCCTGCCCCACCTGTCTTTTCAGCCTGCGCCTGCTGGTGCCGCTGCTGAAGCTGCCCGTGACAGCGGCAATGGTGGGGAAGGCGCGGGCTGTGGCATGGGTGGCGGCTGCTACGTGGTTCGCGACGGGGTGGAAGGATCGCGTCTTGAAGCTCGTGGCTGCTTCTCACCCTGAGGAAAAGGTGAGGCGTAGGGGACAATGTGAGGCGTAGGGGACAATGTGAGGCGTAGGGGACAAGGTGAGGCGTAGGGGACAGGGTAAGGCGTAGGGGACAATGTGAGGCGTAGGGGACAATGTGAGGCGTAGGGGACAATGTGAGGCGTAGGGGACAAGGTGAGGCGTAGGGGACAATGTGAGGCGTAGGGGACAATGTGAGGCGTAGGGGACAAGGTGAGGCGTAGGGGACAAGGTGAGGCGTAGGGGAAAAGGTGAGGCGTAGGGGACAAGGTGAGGCGTAGGGGACAATGTGAGGCGTAGGGGACAAGGTGAGGCGTAGGGGACAATGTGAGGCGTAGCGTAGGGGACAAGGTGAGGCGTAGGGGACAAGGTGAGGCGTAGGGGACAAGGTGAGGCGTAGGGGACAAGGTGAGGCGTAGGGGACAGGGTGAGGCGTAGGGGACAAGGTGAGGCGTAGGGGAAAAGGTGAGGCGTAGGGGACAGGGTGAGGCGTAGGGGACAATGTGAGGCGTAGCGTAGGGGACAAGGTGAGGCGTAGGGGACAAGGTGAGGCGTAGGGGACAAGGTGAGGCGTAGGGGACAAGGTGAGGCGTAGGGGACAGGGTGAGGCGTAGGGGACAAGGTGAGGCGTAGGGGACAGGGTGAGGCGTAGGGGACAAGGTGAGGCGTAGGGGAAAATGTGAGGCGTAGGGGACAAGGTGAGGCGTAGGGGACAATGTGAGGCGTAGGGGACAAGGTGAGGCGTAGGGGACAGGGTGAGGCGTAGGGGACAATGTGAGGCGTAGGGGACAAGGTGAGGCGTAGGGGACAAGGTGAGGCGTAGGGGACAAGGTGAGGCGTAGGGGACAAGGTGAGGCGTAGGGGACAAGGTGAGGCGTGGGGGACAAGGTGAGGCGTGGGGGACAAGGTGAGGCGTAGGGGACAAGGTGAGGCGTAGGGGACAAGATGAGGCGTAGGGGACAAGGTGAGGCGTAGGGGACAAGGTGAGGCGTGGGGGACAAGGTGAGGCGTAGGGGACAAGGTGAGGCGTAGGGGACAAGGTGAGGCGTAGGGGACAAGGTGAGGCGTAGGGGACAAGGTGAGGCGTAGGGGACAATGTGAGGCGTAGGGGACAAGGTGAGGCGTAGGGGACAAGGTGAGGCGTAGAGGACATGTGAGGCGTAGGGGACAATGTGAGGCATAGGGGACAAGGTGAGGTGTAGGGGACAAGGTGAGGCGTAGGGGACAAGGTGAGGCGTAGGGGACAAGGTGAGGCGTAGGGGACAATGTGAGGCGTAGGGGACAATGTGAGGCATTGGGGACAAGGTAAGGCGTTGGGGACAAGGTGAGGCGTAGGGGAAAAGGTGAGGCGTAGGGGACAAGGTGAGGCGTAGGGGACAATGTGAGGCGTAGGGGACAAGGTGAGGCGTAGGGGACAAGGTGAGGCGTAGGGGACAATGTGAGGCGTAGGGGACAAGGTGAGGCGTAAGGTTTAGTTGAGCACAAGAGGTGCGAGTGGGCAAGGTACAAGGTGGGGCACAAACCCCTGCCCGCCCCTATTCTTCCCGCCACCCTCCCCACCTCCTCCCCCTCCCCCCATTTCTCTCCATTGCTCCCCATTCCTCCCCCTTCCCCTTCCAGCCCGTGCTGGCGAACGTAAGCAAGCTGTTGACGCTGTTGCTGCTGGTGGCCCTCCCAGTGTCCCCTCTTGCTCTCGCAGTCCCTCATCCTTTCCCATGCCTCCCACCACATCCCAACCACCTCCAGCCCGTGCTAGCAAACGTGAGCAAGCTGCTGACGCTGCTGCTGCGGGTGGCGGCGGTGGGTACGCTGGCAGAGATGATGGGATTCAGTCTCAAGTCGCTCATCGCTGTGGGAGGCATTTCAGGTGGGTGTTGGGTTGAGAGGCGTCTCACATGGGTGTTGTGATGTGATGGGAGGCGTCATTGTTTTTTCCTTAGTCCTCATTTCTCACAATCATTCCTACCTGCCACGCCTAAGCAAGTCCGCTCACAACCACACCCAGCCGCATTTGTTGTCTCCGTCCTCCCTCATTCCCTCCTAGTCTCGCACGCACCCCTTGCTTCACCTCTGCTACTCTCCCGTCTCTACTCCCTCCCTCTGCGAAACCGCCAGCCAGTCCTTCCATCTGCCAAACCTCTCCTGCCATAAGTTAGAGCCAACTCAAACTTCTCCTCCCTTTTCTCGCACCCCTCCTTTTCCTAAAACTCCCCCCTTTTCCCCTAACCTTCCCCTCTTCCCTCAACACCTCGCAGGTGTGGCCGTTGGGTTCGCGTCCAAGGGGATTTTGACCAACTTCTTCGGCGGGCTCATCCTGTTGTGTGCCCACTCAAACGCCACTCTCCCTTTTCACCCATCCCACCCTTCCCCCTCCCTCCCTCACCACAAACTTTCCCAGGTGTGGCCATCGGGTTTGCGTCCAAGGAGATAGTGACCAACTTCTTCGGCGGGCTCATCCTGTTCCTGACGCAGCCGTTTGTCCTGCCTGCCTTCATGCAACACCTCGCTCCTAGTAACTCTCGCAAGCAGTAGTTGGAGTGGCAGTGGGAGAGGAAGTGGGATTGGGAGTGACAGTAAAAGTGGTGGGAGCGGGAGAGGTGGTTAGAGTGGGAGTGGCAGCAGCAGCAGCAGCAGTGGGAGCAACGTGGATGGGGGGGGGAAGCCTGGTGGATAGGATGAATGCTCAGGCTCACCTGCAGGGGGTTTTGGTGGCCACTCACACACAGACAGAGCCCCCTCCGCTACTTGCCTTGATGCAACACCTTGCTCCTAGTAACTCTCGCAAGCGGTAGTTGGAGTGGCAGTGGCGGTGGTAGTGGTGGGTGGGATGCTCGTGGGGTGGTCTGTGTGACATCATTTTAGCTCACCTAGCCAGGCATTGCATGTTAAGGGGTTGGTGGATCTCCAGTAGCTAGCTACCAATCCAGACCCGGCCTTTGACCAATCCATCTCGATACACTAAGTATCATTTCGAGCCCTCACTTCTTGTGTAATCGTACGAAGCTGTACAATTCCCAGACAGATTCTGCACTTACCGTAAGCCCCCGGATAGAAGCGCAGGCCTATGATAAGCGCCGGCGCTTATAAAAGGCTTATGGCGCTTATATCCGGTCCTCGATTATAAGCCCACCCCTAACGGCTTACAGATTATAAGCGCCACCCTTTGTAATATTTGTTTTATTTTTACTGGACAGTTACACCTGTTGCAATGCCTTCGCTGATAACCGTTCAGTCCAGGTCAGTCAAAAATCGCGACAGTTGACGTGCGACTGCTGACCTGCGTGCCCTACATGGGCTAACTCGATAGTGTTGCTGATGTTGCTTCGGTAGTAGCTGGTGCGATACTGCTGCACTTTCGGGAATGCTCGAGTATTTTCCTGCTTTCTCCAACACTCCCCTTCATTCCTGAGAGTGTGACATGTGGCTCTTCTTGACGACTCCGCACATGTCCGAGCAGTACTGGAAATTTTGACGTGGCAGTTTCTTTGTCAGAAAGTCAGCTGCCATTTCGTCAGTTGGGCAGTAGGTGAGCTAGACCTTGCCTTTGTCGATTTCGTCTCTGACGAAGAAGTAACGGAGAGCGATGCGTTTCGTGCGGTTGACAAAGCCAGGCTTGTTTGCGATCTTGATCGCGCTCTGGTTGTCGCACAGTAACTTGAACGACCTGTTCATCGCCATTTTCGTTTTCTGCAGGAGCTCCGTAAGGTAGAGGCCTTCGCGAAATGTTGCGCTTGTTGCGATGAACTCTGCTTCGGCTGACGAGAGAGCAATGTGCTCCTGCTTCTGGGAGTTCCAAGAGATGGTTCCTGCAGGTTCGAGCTTGAAAACAAATAATGTGCAGGACCTCCTGTTATCAATGTCCCCTACGTGGTCAACATCCATGTAGCCAGTAAGCTGCTGAGTAGTTGTAAGATTTGCTTTGTAGGTAAGGCCGACGTCAGGAGTGGAAATGAAGTACTGTAGGGCGCGTCACAGGTCTGCCATATTCTCCCCTTCAGGTTGGCGCAGGTACCGGGCGAGCTGGCTGGCGGCGTATGATAGGCACCCAAGTTGCTGCTGGTAGTGGCGATGATCGGCTGGGGATAGTGGCATCGTGTCAAGCTCGTGGTTAGGTGGAGGAGCGCGGAAGGGGGTGGTGAGGCTGATAGGCGCGATGCCAAACTTCTTGGCGAGTGTCTCGGTATACTTCGTGGCTGACATGTGGATAGTGTCGGCCAACTGTGTTACGTTGAGCAACTGGGGGACGTTGTGATTCATAGTCACCTCCAGCTTCTTCTTGATCTCGCGCTCGAACCAATCGAGGAGCTCCACATTGTCTTCGGTGTAGAGCAGATCGTCAACATAGGCGACGAGTAGGATAAAGCTCCCACGGGACTTGAGCCCATACATCCCCTGGTCGTGGGGCAACTGCTGGAATCCGAGCTCGATGAACACGGTGTGAAGGTACTGCTGCCACAAGCGCGTGGCCTGCTTGATTCCGTAGAGGGACTTCTGGAGGAGACATACGGCGTCACTGTCCTCCTCGAAGTCGTGCGGCTGCTCGACATAAAGAATGGCGTCGACGATCGCTTACAGGAACGCATTTGACACGTCGATCTGGCAGAGTGGGAGCTGCTTCACGGCTGAGATGCAGATGAGAATCCACGGAGGTGTGTCGTCCGACAGGTGCGAATGTCTTGTCATAGTTGACAAATTGAGTTTGCTCGAAGCCGCGAACACTCCATCGCGCTTTGTATTTGTCGATGGTGCGGTCCGCAAAAGTTGCGATTCTGAACACCTATTTTCCGCTGAGAATTTTCCTCCGCTTTGCATGTCATCATGGTACCAGTTTCCAGGTTTCCCGCCTCTTGAGTGCAGCGACTTCAACGGTCATGGCTGCTCTCCACTTCTCGGCATCGGGTCCCTGCAGGGCTTGACGGACAGTGGTGGGCTCGACCAGCTGCTGGTTACCACGAATGGCGATTCCGAGACTGAGGATGCGAAGTCCGGTGAGTTTGGACTCGGCTGCGTCAGTTACTTCAACCACGTCGTCCTCGTCGCCAAAGATGTCGCGAGAGGAGTTGCGGTCGGGATCTGCTTCCATGGGTGAGTGCATTTCTGCACATGCGTAATCATAATGTCGCTGTTTGGAATTCCTCTACAACAAGTGCGAGGGGTGCTTCTCCTGTGGTTGGTTCCTCCGGTTGCTGTTTTGCCACGTCAACCTTGTCCTAATCACTTGCGTATCTGTGCTCCTCGTGGAATATGTTGTCTGGTGCGTTTTGTGCAGTGCGGTGCTGGCGGTACAGTGGTAGCGTCAGTCTTTCATAGAAGATGCAGTCACGTGACCGTGTGACTTGGTGGGTGGAAAATTCGAGGATGGTCCAAGCGTGGTACTCCGGTTCGATGCCGAGGTGGATGCCCCAGCGTGCGCGTTCTTCAATATTTCCAGCTCAGGCAATGTGGGGGCGGTACAGTACCATGCACATCCAAAGTATGCACGTGTCCGGATTTTTGTCGGTCCATTTCTTGAAGGGTGAGGTGTTGTTGGGCAGGGCCTTTGAAGAAAGAATGTTGTGTAGGCGCACAGCATGCGCCATCGCATAGGGCCGGTAGATGGTTGACACGGCTGCCTGTTCCACGAGAGCTCGCATTTTTTTCTCGAGGCTCCTGTTGTTTCTCTCTGCCAAACCGTGCTGCTTGTGAGCGTAAGGAAGGGAGATCATCCGCAGGATTCCCTCTTCCGCACATAGGGTTTTGAATTCCTCTTTCTGGTACTCTAGTGCTCCATCCGTCTAGAAAGCCTTAAGTGTCTTGCCATCGCTCTGTGTTTCCGCCATCTTGAGCCACAGATAGAAGCAGTGATGTGCGAGGTGGCGGTTGCTAACGTTCGCAGCCCAGACGAAGTGCGTGCCGGCATCGATGAAGGTAATTGTATACTGCTCCCCTTCTAATCCCTTTGCTATGAGCAATTGAAAGTCGCTGTAGACTTTGTCGAGTGGTTCGTCTGCTCGGCTCCGGGAATTTCTTCAGTGAAGGGAGTGTGACGTAGCACGGCTTATGAGCAGACGGTACAGGTAAGTCTTTTCTTGGCTTGAGCAGATTTTCGTCGGGTAGCAACAACGCATCTTCCGCGAACACTTTGGCATTGATGCAGTTGTTGAGCACTTCTACTGAAGGATGCCTGAGTCGTTTATGCCAGATGTCAGCGTTAGCGTTTTATCCTCGGGTGCGTGCATACAACTGCTTTTCCCGTGCTAATATCCCTTCTGCTACTTCCTTTCCCACTTCGTCCGCACGTTCTTCCGCGTGAAGAGTCTCGAGTCTCGTCCCGTGGTATTCTCCGCTGGAATCACCTATGGTTGTGGTGTCGATCGTGGCGGGAAGCTCAAGTGGTCCTTCTGGAGGTGTCGGCGTGATTTTTCGGCAACGGTCTTCTGGCTGGGCGAATTTGCCTTCTTCGAGGTCAGTGTCGCCAGACGCTGCTCCCATTGTCTCGAGGCGGAGGTAGCTTCTTCCGTCCGTTGTGACTGGAATGAGGCGATGTCCGTACTCGGTCAGAGATTCTTCTTCTGAAGCCGGTAGTTCCGTTTCATGTTCACGCACATTGACGACGACTTATCACAACACTTCTGTAACCTCCGGTCTTCTCCTTCTATAGGTTCTTCAGTAACTTCGGGCCATCCTCCTTATGCTTCGAAGGCTTGATTGGGGCGAGGTCCCCATCCCCTACCGCGTGTTGGCCAAGCAACGTCTGTTGCGTCCCATCCTTCAGCCACGTGTCAGCCAGTGGGTTGCTCGACCCTGGGCCATATTGGTCACGCCCTCCTCTTTCCCCAGTTGAGCTGATCTCTTCTCCTTCTTCCACTCAATGCGGTCTGGTGTCCGCAAGGTCCGTGGTCGAGGCGACGGGTGCCGCGGGAGAACGGAAGGTTCCATCCAGGCCTGGTCATTGGAAGTCCGTCTCCTCCGGAAGACTCCAAGTGGGTGGCGACGGATGTCCCAGTGGATCAATAACAGTTACGTGATCTCAGTGAGTCGAAGTTGAGCACGAACACCCTGTTCCCATTTTTTCGCCGATGAGAGTGGCTTCATGGATTAAGTGAAATTCTTCTTCGAGTGTGCGCAGTTGAGCGCCACACTTCATGTGGCGGCAGTATGACAAGGACGTCGCTGATGTGGATACAGAAGTTTGTATATTTCGACTCCAACTAGATTTGTCCGCGGCTTTTCGCGTAAGTCGACTGATTGTTGGCGACGGTAATCTCAACTTCGTGGAAGAGTTTCTCATTGTTGAGTATGAACATGCTCGACGAGACCATGTGTTGACCGCAACAGCTATCCAGGTACCACTTGTTGACATCTTTGTTTTGCTTTGCAATGTTCGCGATTCGCGGAGCGAGGTGATGCTCCATGTCGTTATCATCTTCGTAGTTCCACCCCTCTTTGTCTAGTGCGATGCGTGCAGGTGGCGACTCATGGATCCATGGTGGTGATTCCTAGTCGTACTGGATGCGTCAGTCCGTCAGCTCGTCATAGATAGGATCCTTTTC